AGCCTGATATGTCATTAAGCAAACAAACGCTGGAGTTAATATTTGATATGCCGATTTTCGCTAATTTTAGACACATCCCAAAGTATGCTCCCGATTTTCAACATTAATATCTCCGTGAATTTTTAAGTAAAATACAACTGTAATATATCAAAATCTAAGTTAGTCCTTCCTCTATTTAATGCAAGTTATTTCTCTTTAAAAGCTCTACTTGTTTAGAAATTATTACGAATCAAACAGGAGTACTTTTTTTTGGGACACCCGGTATATATATAAATTTAGCAAAACCAAAGGCTGACAAGCAGGGATGGTTTCAGAACGTTTTTCAACGTGATGATACGATATGCAGACAATGTGACAAAACAGAAAAGCCAGAAAATATTGAATCGTGGATTTTAGTCTTAGTTAGTTTTCAATTACGCTGACATTTACGAGACATTAGTACCATATAGCTCAAATTCAGAAGATAAACCAATAGAGAATTAACAATATGCCGCTTTTAAGTACGTTTATTTGCGTATTTAGCTTTTTGCAATATAATTATATGTAAAAGGAACTGTTGTTGTACGCTTAAACATTATTTCTAAATTTTAAAAAATTGTTACGAAAGTATATCTATAAATAGTATAAAAATAATTCAATTTGCACCCCAGGAAATTATAGATACTTGTTACGTCAAATGGAGAGATAATGAGCGTTTTTGCTGTAAAACTCAGATAAAGTATATATCATTTCGGACTTGCGTAAAGTGTCAATTATCTGTCCATTAGGCAAGATAAATTATTCGTCAATTTGGACGAGAGCCTTGCATGGTGGGCTGTTGTGTGTACATAATTCAAAGTCCAAGGCTGGTTCTTCTCTGACATGAAAATGTGCATGCTTAGGGCCTTTCTGTCAATCATTCTTCGGTATATTTCGCGCGGTTGAGTAATGATAACATTACGTCATCAAAATCTTGGTTTGATAAAATTGTAAGTGAATTTAGTTTAGTAGGTAAAGTAAGGTTCACATAGGTATAGTTTGAAGTTTTTACTATGATATTTTGATGAGTATTTTAAGTTGTGAACATGTTTTAATGATGATCGATTGAACAGGGAACCAACTCGACCAGTGCGACAACGCCTTAAATAAACAGAATGTGAGGGCTGGAGCGAGCTAGCAACGCCAACCAACACTTTTAAACCTCAACGTTGATTGGCTGGATACAAATCACACCACTTGCTACATCACGTGTGTAAAGATCCCTCAACCGTTAGTATAAAAGTGCGTGCACAACCCAAATTCGACAGTGGACAGTGGACTATAGAGTGAAGTGAGTGAACATAAACTTGCTAGTGGATTCTCAGTGGACTATAGAGTGAAGTGAGTGAACATAGACTTGCTAGTGGACTCTCCAGTGAACTATCGAGTGGACTCAACGAAGTAAAAATTATGTATGAAAAGTTGTAGAAAGCTCAAACGAAACCAGACAAAACGACGAAAGAAAAAGAAAAAAATATATACATTTCTAACAAAATGATTAATAATTTGCCGATTATATGCCAACAATATCGCATTTTATATCACCGCACATAATCTCATTTATCACTGCACCTTGGAATAATCCCTGCAATCAGGAGGCTAGAAAAGTCAAGATTGCGCCAGCCTATTGGAGACATTTTTTGCAAGCCAAAAATAACGGGAACCCATACAGGTCAGTGATCACGTCATGTCATACCATCATTTTCAATTTCAAACATAAAGTTTACAAGCGTACGTCAGCACATAAGCAAACAATGATACGCATGCTTGTAAATTTACATTTGGACTTGAAAATGGTGTTCTGATTACGTCTTCTAAAATAAACATTTTATCGCTTATATTTGCGTCTAGATGTACCATTAAAACGTCATTCCTCATCAAAATTTAGAAACCAATTTACCTGAGAAATGGTCCGGTCCAATGGTTATTTCTCTTAAATGGTGTACACCATATTCCACTGCATAATTAACTGCATCATTCTTTTTTTCACTTTCCTTATTCCGTTCTAACTTGATGAACTTCCCTTGACATACTTGCCATAAATGTTTATGCCCAGAAAGAGCTTCCTTCGAGACTTTGAATGAATGTTGCTCATATTCTTCAGATACAAGCCAGTCCACCACTGTTTTATGAAAAACAGTCAGACAGTCATTATAGACAAGCAGAAGCGCTGAGAGGCTATCGTTGACTTTGCGTATCACCCCCTTCATTGCTCTAGTGTCTCCTGCCAATTTAAGGATTTCAGCAACATAACTTAACGGAATGGGAGCTTTCATGGCAACAAGCACCTCTAGTATTCGGTCAAAGTTAATGTTTGATGACAGTTTCTTTAGCTCCTCTTCCAGGCGCAAGAAATATCTCTCATAAGTAGAACCTATACCTTTAGGAGCGATGGAAACAAAATCGGCGTCCTTATCTAATCGTCTTAGCTCTACTTAACAATGGTGTGCATATAAAAACGAACCTTCGCATTTGTTAACCAGCTGGTTCATTTGGTATTTATCGGCAGGGCGCTCGTGGTTCAAGGAAGACTCCAAAAAACACTTTAAATCTTCTTCATTGTCTTTATCATCGGGTAAAATTTCAACAGAATAGAAATGGTGCAATTGCTTCTTCACTGGTAGCTCGGGTCGGCTGGTTATGAAAATCTTCATCCACTTGGGAAGCTGTGGAAATTCTTCTGCTATTAAATCAAGCAGCTCACTCTTGCCATCCCTCTCGCTCTCGTCCAATCCATCAATTACCATTAGCATGGGCCGTCGATCCGGCAGTGAATTCAAAGGATCTTTTAGCAGCACACGAAAAGCATCTCGGATGGTATGTTTAGTGTGACGACGATACAGCTGCTGAACGAGTCTCTCATAAAAACCACTTACATTCTTACACATGTGGTTTGCTAAAGATTCGAACATTGCAAATGGATCACTGTAATCTGAGTAGTTAAAGACACAGAAATGGCATGCCGCTAACTGTTCTTCATACACTTGACAAGCTTTGGCTGCAAAGACGCTTTTACCAACTCCTGGCCCAGCAATCAGCATCATTACTCGATAATTGGAAACTTCATCTGTAAGCCAACGATCGAGTTTGTCAAAAAGCCAACCCCTGGTTCCCGGATGAAATGAATTGTTAAGACGCTCGATGTTTGGCTGAAAATCACACTTTACCAGTCGTTGTAGAACATCTGGCGTGAGGGCTGCTTCTAAGCGTTTTGACACATCCTTTACTTTTAATGAGAAAAAAATAAGTTTGTGTGAACTACAAAAGCTACGTATTGATAAAATTACGAGAACATGGGTTTTTGAATTTTACAGTTTGAACCGAATTCCAAGAGTAGAGGCATTAAGATACATTTCGACTACTGTAGGTCCTATTACACCGCTTACAATCGCATGCTCTTATAAGCGGAAATTCACCATTTTTCGAGTCAAATCACCATTTTGGAGGCACATGCATGTGCTTATGATTTGTATATAGGTACACCATCATAAACTCATTACATAATTATATGTATCCGTCATACATGTAACCATCAAATTATCCTGATACAGTACGTATTTGTTGTTGTCGGTTGAAGTCAGATTTTTATATGCGCATACAATTCAGGGGCGCTTATATGCGGTCGGCGTTAGATCATATCGCGTTAACGTACAGTGGCTTTGCAATTCCCCAGCTGCCGCAGTGCTGTGTTAAAGAAAATTAGTACTAGAAAATACATGCATGCAGAAACCCTCGCCTTCTGACAAAACCATTGTATTTTCCGAACATGAAGTATTTAAAGTAGTTGTCATGGTAACACGATAATTTTTGCTGCCGAAGGCAGCACCCTATTCTTCACACGCGGTGGTTTCTCCAGAGTCCACTCGACCCAGTCTTTCGCGCGATCTATGTATTGTCGAGATCTCGATTTGTGTCTGTCTGTCTTTCTGTCTGTTAAGATGATTTCCGGGAGGAATAATTAAGCTTCGGGAAGTTTTTTTAAACGAGGGGGGCGGTCAAACTATATTTTGTATTGTGCATTTGTGCAAGCAGACTATAAAGCAGTTTTAAACTTTTAATACGGGATCATACGAGTTTATATGTTGGATTGCAAACGAATATCAAAGAATAAATCAGGTAAGAATGGTTTTATTTCTTTCTGGTGATATACATGAAGGCATTTAGATCTGCTGTTTGCCTGTTTTATAGCATTCGATACAGAGGTATATAATTTGAAACATATGATTTCATGATGTCAATAATGACAGCTGTCTTATTTTATATACAATTGAAGGAGCTTGAAAATGTACTTTGAGTTTATTTGTTTGTGTGGCGGTGTACCAAGGCGATGAGTTTTATATAGTGTTCATTTTAGATGTTTATAGCAATGGTGCTTTCAGCACGTTTTAAAAACAAACTCGGACTGTTTAATAATACTTTTGCACGTGCACGTAATCAGGCTTCCTAGCAAGTAGCAACCCAGTGTGGGGATTGTTGTCTGTATATATTAACTTACCAGGCTACCAGCAGTTACATGCAAATAGCATGTTTGTACAAGGCCGGGTATCATGCATGCCTGATGGCCTGTTTATATCTCTGAGACATCTCCATTGTTAAAGATGCGGTACAGTTCGTATGTAAACAAAGGCTTTGTTTACATTTCGGTATTCAAAATATAGAAATTTATATATTTTCATGATTCTAGAGTATAATAGATTATATTAAAAGACACAACAATCAAGCTTTGCAAGAACATAAAACGAAATAAAACCTAAATAAACTGTTTGTATAAAATAACTAAGAGGGCTCCTCCTTTGACTTTGTGCACATGTGGATCAGACCGTACAGCATCTTTAACTCTTTAAAAGCAGGCCCCTATAAACGTAGTACGTGCACGTACTATGACACTTTGCCTATTCATATCTCCTGTTTGGTGCCCGCTATGTAGATGAAAATACCACCATTCGATTCAGTGAAACAATATCTCCTAATACCTATCGATAGTTTTAGTCAAATATAGTTTTAGCAAAATTGTA